CACACACACACACACACACACACACACACACACACACACACAGCCTTGCCAGCAAGAATCCCGTTCGCTTGGACAAGCAGTGACCCCAGTAGAGAGATTTAAGTCTGGACGCCCCTGGGCTCAGCCACAGCTGAGAATACACAACCCAACAGGCCTCCCCTTAAGGTTGCGATCTACCAGGGACCCTCGTTATCGCCCGTGGGGGAAGGCGGGGGCAGTTGGATTGGGTCAAATAGCTGGCGGGAGAGCGCTGAAAGGTGCCCCCCCAAGACTCCGCTGGTGGCCAGGCTCTAAAAGCCCCTTGGGGAGGCTCCTCAGGGCAGCCCGGCGGCTCCGCCAGCTATTCCCGCGGGGGTCGGACGGGGGCGCGGCCTCAACCCTGGGGTCCCCGCGGGAACCTGGAACCGGCCCGCCCCCAGCCCCTCGCGCCCCCGCGTCCCGGCTGCGCGCGCCGCCGACTCACCGAGCGACGCCTGCACCGCCTCGGCCGCAGAGAAGGCGAGCAGCGAGCTCTCCTTGGCCAGGAAGGCTTTGCCGTCCTCCGCGTCCGCTTGGAGCGCCTCGGCTTTGTCGAAGTTGCCGGCGCCGGGCAGCGGCTGCGGCGCGAACTTGCGGGCGGCCGCCGCCTCTTGGTGCTGGGGCGACGCGGAGAAGCCGCCGGGCAGCGTGGCCATGAGCGTCGAGGTGAGCGCCATGCCCTGCGCCAGGCTGGAGCAGAAGCCGGTGGGCAGGCTGGGGATCTGGTGGTGAGGGTGCGCGGGCGGCAGCGCGGGCTGCAGCGCGGCCTGGGGCAGCGCGGGCGGCGGCGGCGGCGGTGGCGGCAGCACCACCGGCCGGTAGGGCATGAACATGGGGTAGCCGGTGTAGACGAAATGGCCGGGGCTGGGCTGCGGCGGGCTGCCGATCAGCGAGTCTATGCTGAAGGCGGTACTGCTCCCCAGCGGGCGCTGCATCATCATCAGCGACGGCGGGAACGCTGCGCTCATAGACGCGCTCGGAAGAGGCAGGGGACCGGCGAAAAGTCCCCGCGCCGCGCCGCCGCCGGGAAGCCCTCGAGACTCCGGGAGCAGCGCCGGGCTGGGGCCGAGCGGCACCCGGAGCGCAGACGCCGCGGCCCCTCAGTCCCGGGCCCGGGGCATGCCCGGCGGGCGCGGGTGCAGGCGGGGCGC